TTACTATTTGGTTTTGGCACAATAAAAATATTAGAAATAATATCTCCCTCTTCTGGGAAGGAGGGGACAATAGCCCCTTCTTCATGTAACATTTTAACCTCATTATCAACAATTGCCTTTTGTTCTTGAGAAAGACCAATTTCAAAAGGAACTTTATCTTGGAAAGGAATTTGATCAAAATCTATTTTATAACCTTTAACAGTTTGTAAAATCCAAGGATCTTAGTAAAATTCTGCCAAACATTTTCGAAATACTGTAATTTTCATACCTGGCCTACTTGTTTGGGACACTTGCAGAAGTAACTGTTGCTACTGGGGGTCTTCTTGCCCTGAACTGGGAGCTACAACCTCTATAAGAACCAGACTGATAGTACATGTTATTGTATTGATTACCAGGACCATACTGCTGTCTACCTCTTCTAGGGTAAGGATATCTACTTGCAGTACTAAGCTCTACCTCAGAAAGGTCTATTATCATACCCTGGAAATGCAAGAGAAATACCAGTATCAGAATTTCTGATTTCCTTGGTTATATCATCCCCAAACAATTGAAATGTTATTGGGGTAGATTGGTTACAAATATAACAGGTACACTACCTGTTGCAACAAGATTTTGAATATGGACCAACATGCTGTTATAACTCTTATACTTCTTTTCTAGAATTTTCAATACTTCTGGATTGACAGTAGGAGGGCTTAAGTTGTCACAATTTTTGGGAATATTGTACTTTGAATAATATCCTCTGTACAGCATGCTGAAGTGCATGTAGTATTGATCAATTTCGCCAAAGAAGGGGATATAGAGTCCCCCCTGACAACACTCTTAAGCTTAGGGGGAGCCCATTCATCCCTTAAGTCTGACAACTTAGTATTATCAATGGGGTCATCACCAAACATAGCTTGCAACATTTTTGATGACATATCTTCATTTGCAGAGACTTTCTTCTGCTGTTAAAAAGCAAATTTTGAATCAGAAATATCTGAACTGTTCACCTCAACCCTTAAATTTGGGGGATGATTCGAGTCAAAATTTTCATCTACAATTTATATAAGTCCTCATAATCTAGGATAAATTGAGATTCATCCTCAAAATTTTCAAGTATTGGGAAACCAAGCTTTTTCTTGAGACTATCAATACCCTTCTGGGATAAATTTTCATTATCAAGCTTGTTTTCTTTACCTTTACTAGCCGTAGTAGCCTTTTCACTGCCTTTTTATTTTATTTTTTACTTTCTTTCTGAGAAATTTACAATTTTTACCTTTCTTTCCCTTATCTTTTGATCATTTGGGCTTCCCAGCCCATACAACAACAGACTTAACAGTCTCATTTGGTTTTTTGGACACAACTGTTATAAATGCTCCCTTATCAAGAGAATCATGTTCAAACCCAGAAAATTCCCCCTCAGAACTCAAATTATCTAGGGTTATTTTAGCGCGGGGTTCTTCGCCCTCACTCGAGCTCATTATCATTCTAAGGGCTACGTCCAAAGAAAGCTTGAAAACAGTAAAAGTAAATACAAAATATATGGCAATAAAATACAAAACTTATCCTGTTAAACAGGTAAAGAACGTAAACGAAGTCAAAAACAATTACAAAAAACTACTGTAAACACGTGTTGTTTGAACGTCTACACGATACCAGCGCAAAATTCATAATGACATAATCAGCTGGTTTACACTTCCTGGGAATGGAGGGGTCACGTGATTGGTGTTGCCGGTTTCATTTTGAAAGTGCGTTTCACGTTACTATTGTCGCTACTATCATGCTGAGTATACAATCATGTAAAGTCGAAGGCTTTTGCCAAAATAATGCTCAAGAAACATGGTACATTAAAATTACCTTTCATCTAATTCTTTTTATGACAACACAGCCTTTTGTTCCCCCTTACACCTCACTTAACCCATTACTTCATATACACGCCTTTTAACGCCTTTTTCACCCCCCCCCTCTTTGTTGTCTCAAATGGTGAAAAAATGCATTATTTAGGCCCTTAACACTTGTTTTTGTTTGAGAAATGTTGTTACAAAAAGTGACCACTTTTTCGGTGCGGCCCCCCAACCAAAAGATACATCAGGGGGTTGCCAGAAGGGGGATGTGCCCCCTTATGTTTGGGGGGGTTTGAAGGGGGGCGGAGTCCCCCTCATCGCCAAGAAAATTTTGGACTTGTGAGAGGCTATAAATGACCCCAGATTGATCATAAGGTAACGTGTAATCAACGCTGAAAAGCATTTGACTCTATCCCAATCCATTGAGAAGTTGCAGCACTTTGAAATCAATTATAATGGAAAAAATCAACGCAAAATAGTGATTTTTGGCAATTTTGAGATGTCCCCTCGTTGCCATGGTAACAGAAAATTTAAGCCTGAGCATGTTGTTGCAAGGGCAATGGTCCAGTTAACATTTGTGCCAAGTTTGATTAGTGTTGAAGCAGTTTTTATAGTATTATAGCAATTTGAACTTGTAACGGGAGACTTTTCAATGAAAACAGCCATTTTTCACAAAATGCTCATGAAGTAATGGGTTAAGTAATATAGCCCTTTATTAGTCCCCTACCGGTTTACCCTCCGTCCGTCTGTCTGTCTGTCCGTCCGTCCGTCCGCACGTCCGTCCGTCCGTCCACAAAACTGGATCCCGCGATAACGCAAAAAGTACTGAAAATATTTTAATGAAACTTGATATATGGATAGATGGCAGTATGGGGATTATGCAGGTCTTTTTCTTTTCTTCCTATGTTGAAAATTATGGTTGCTATGGCAACAAATAGACTGAAAATATGGCAAATTTTACACATAACCTGGATCCCGCGATAACGCAAAAAGTACTGAAAATATTTTTATGAAACTTGATATATGGATAGATGGCAGTATGGAGATTATGCACGTCTTTTTCTTTTTTCCTGTCCTGAAAATTCTGGTTGCTAGGGCAACAAATAGACTGAAAATATGGCAAATTTTACACATAACCTGGATCCAGTGATAACACAAAAGTACTGAAAATATGTTTATGAAACTTGACATATGGGTAGATGGCAGTATGGAAATTATGCACATCCTTTTCTTATCTTCCTATGTTGAAAATTCTGGTTGCTATGGCAACAAATAGACTGAATTTCAAGATTTCTGATTCTAGTTTTTAAGTATTTTCACTATAAGTTCTTTATTTCTTAAGGTATTTTCTTCAAACTTTAAATATAAGTTGCTTGTCATCAACCACATCATATGTGACAAGGTTTACAACTCTAGCACAAAATTTATCAGAATTACCTCACTTGAACTTAAAATTTTCATGAAAAAACATTGTTTTTTTTTAATAACTTCTTTTTCTGAATGTATCTACTTCAAACTTCATATAAATGTTTCTTATTATCACTCAACATTTGTGAGTGTTTAATACTCTAGCAAGACTATTTCCAGAATTATGCCCCTTTTGAACTTTTTTTTTGAGAAATTGGTAATTTTTACTCCAACTTCTTCAATCATGATATGATTTTAAAAATGTTATATTTTGATAACAGGGATGTTTAAAAAATAACTTTAGAGTGTCCTTCAGTCCGTCTGTCTGTACAAAAAAAAACTGTTTCCTGTGATCACTTTTAAAGATTTTTTTCAACAAATTTACTTAGAATAGGAACATAAGTGAATTAGGCCAATGGCCCTTCAGAATGTTGCTTGGGCTTTGACCGGTAGGGGACTTATGGATTGCTTGCAATACTATGATAATTGCTTGTCATTCTTCCCTTAACACCTTCATTATGATAACAAACTCAGAGCTCCAGACATTTATTGTTAAAACAAAATGATTTTCACCAAAAGCAAATTCAGTTTCAAATGCTGGTGTTCAAAAATGAATTGCTTTCAATTGTTTGAAAATCAGTGAAAATTGTTAAAAATGAAAGGAACAGTTTTTTTATCATACTATTTACTGTGGTATATTTAGTCAGAGTGATAACTGATATGTACCATAGCACCGCTCATGCAAACCATGTGTCACAGTTTTGTAGAGCTCCCTTTCAAAAAAAATGTGAAAATGATGTGGATACAAGCATAAAAAAACAACAACAAAAAAACTGTTATTTCTTTGTACATGCAATGCTAAATTTTGTAAAAAGAACAGAGAAATGAAACAAATACTTAGTCATGGAAAACTGAGCCTTTTATTGCCAATGGTGTAGGTGCTAATCTAATCCTTTATAAAACTCATGTAGTACCCCATTCAATATGGCCCTTTGACAAAAAACGAATTGTAAATTAAAAAAAAAAACTAATTGAATTTGAAATCTGGTAGTGAAAAAAACATTGCTGAACAAATCAAGAAGTATAAAACTAAAAGCATGAAAAAATATCTTGAGCTCTTTTTTAAACTGTAACAATAATGTTCAAATTTGGCATATATGTTCACATCAACAAGTCATGTGCAAAATCTATGCCACCATTGTGCCAGCGCAAGGGCAAGGTCACACTTGAAAGTCAAATTTCAGACAGTTTTGCATCAGAGAAAGTATTGGTCTCTCCTGTAACAGCTCTACATTTTAGCACACCTTAGCACAACCTGCTCATGGTAAGCTAATATGTTCCCATTCTGTCTTCCATGCATGTCAATTTCATTAATCAACATCTCCTTTGAAAGTTACACAACAGATATTTTGTGTATACTCACTTAATACTCATGATACCCAATTGGCTTTAAAGCCTACATATTATATTTCAAGAAAAGTTTCCGTGAGGAAAATGTAATAAGATTTTAAGAAAAGTAAAAAAGAAATAATTTATAAAATATTATGTTATACACAATTAATGACTAATTTTGCTGTATTTATTATTGTATGAGACCTGGTACATAATTAGTATGTCCAGCATAGTAGAGTATGAAAACTTTGTACAATTTTTTTTTATTGGACAAAAGTGTCATTTCCATGGTTATGGAATAGGTAAAAAGAATGGTAACAGAAATAAGTAGGTTAATATGTAACTCAGATGTTATTGTGTCAATCTTTTTTCCAGAAGGTTGGTATATGCATTGGTAGTCTACTGGACCAACTTGAAACAACTGTGTACAGGTATTTATATTGAGATAAAGTTTTAAATTAATTCATTTCCATATGACCAATGTTAACATTGATTAAAATAGAGCAATTTTAGACATACACCTGCATACAGAAGCTAAATTTGTGCAAAATATTTTATATCAGACACCATTTTACTCATTATACCCCTGCACAGCAAAGTTGTAAGGGGATATACTGGAATCAGCTTGTCCATCCGGCCGTCCCGCTGTCCATCCGGTCTATTTAAGAGAAGTAGGGGGCCATCTAACTGTAAACAGAACATAAGAGAACAATAGAGTTCATTCCGTAACAATAGAATAAGGGGCCATGGCCCTCAATTAAACAAAAGAAAATAACAAAAGAAATGGCCCTTTAGTCCATTTAAGTGGCACGTCCGTCTGGCTGTCCGTCGGGTTTTTTCTTGTCCGCCCAATATCTTAAGATTCATTTGACCCACAGTCTTCATATTTGGCATTGAGATTAGTCATGATTAGTAAATGACCCCTATTGATTTTGAAGTAAAAGGTCAAGGTCAGAGGGGCCTTGACTTCAAAAAGCTTGTCCGCCCAATAACTTAAGATTCATTTTACCCACAGTCTTCATATTTGGCATGGACGTTAGTCATGATTAATAGATAATCCCTATTGATTTTGAGGTCACCAGGTCAAAGTCAGAGGGGCCTTTGACCCATAGTCTTCACATTTGGTATGGAGGTTAGTCATGATAAGTAGATGACCCCTATTGATTATAAGGGGCCATGGCCCTCTATTAAACAAAAGAAAATAACAAAAGAAATGGCCCTTTAGTCCATTTAAGTGGCACGTCCGTCTGGCTGTCCATCGGGTTTTTTCTTGTCCGCCCAAAAACTTGAGATTCATTTGACCCACAGTTTTCATATTTAGTATGGGGATTAGTCATGATAAGTAAATGACCCCTATTGATTTTGAGGTCAAAGGTCAAGGTCAGAGGGGTCTTGACTTTAAAAAGCTTGTCCGCCCAATAACTTAAGATTCATTTGACCCACAGTCTTCATATTTGGCATGGAGGTTAGTCATGATTAAGAGATGATCCCTATTGATTTTGAGGTCACCAGGTCAAAGGTCAAGGTCAGAGAGGCCTTTGACCCATAGTCTTCACATTTGATATGCAGGTTAGTCATGATTAGTAGATGACCCCTATTGATTATGAGGTCACCAGGTCAAAGATCAAGGTCAGAGGGGCCTTGACTGAAAAAAGCTTGTCTACCCAAAAGCTTAAGATTCCTTTGACCCACAGTCTTCATATTTGGCATGCAGGTTAGTCATGATTGGTAGATGAACCCTATTGATTTTGAGGTCACCAGGTTAAAGGTCAAGTTCACAGGGGCCTTGACTAAAAAAATTAAGAATCCTTCATATTTGGCATGGAGGTTAGTCTTGATTAGTAGATGAACCATATTTATATTTAGGTCACCAAGTCAAAGGTCAAGGAAATAGGGACCTTGACTGAAAATGCTTGTCCACCCAAAAACTTAAGAATCCTTTGACCCCCAGTCTTCAAATTTGGCATGGAGGTTAGTCATGATTAGTAGATGACCCTAATCTATTTTAAAGTCACCAGGTTGAAGGTGAAGGTCACAGGGGCCTTGACTAATTAGACCTTGTCCTCCCAATTACCTAAGAATCCTTTGACCCACAGTCTTCATATTTGGCTTGGAGGCTAGTCATGACTAGTAGATGATCCCTATTGATTTTGAGGTCCCTCGGTCAAAGGTCAAGGGCTTTTATTACAATAATCTTGTCTGCTCAAATGTTTAAGAATGCCTTTCCACAGTTTATTGAGTTTTACATTTTCCCATTTGAAGCATATAATTATGTTCTCATATATTCATTATAAAACACCTCCAGGCAAAGCTGAATGAATGGGTGGGGGGGTATTGAAGTCATTTAGTGGCAGTTTCAGTTTTGAGTTCAGTAGGTCAAAGGTAAAGGTCATTTTGATCTTTGCCAGACTACATAACTTGGCAATGCACTGGCTTACTTCCCTCAGATTTGGCTGGGAGGTTGTCCTTGAGCTCTACAAAGTGGTATGCGGGGGTTACATTCACGCCATGACAGTTGCAGTTCTAGTTTCTGCAAAACGTCACAGTAGTCCAGTAAAATTTATGTGTATGTCAGAAAAAAACATCATTTTCCAAATGTTCTTGTTTGTTTAAAATAAAAAGAAATTGTGTGAAATAGGTAAAGATAGGTTGCATATTTGAAATAGAGCCATATAGCATTTAGTAATTTTAACTAGGGATGTCATCTGGAGCAGATACGGCCATCCGGAGATCCAAATCAAACATCCCGATGCATCTGGATGTTTAGATTGTTGTCATATTCTTTGTTGGCTGATATAACGTAACCATTATTTGCGGCCTTTTTCAAAGTGTAGTATTTCGTTTTACTTCCTTTTTAGCTCGACTATTCGAAGAATATGAGAGCTATTCTAGTCGCCCCGGCGTCGGCGTCAGCGTCCGCGTCGGCGTCTGCGTTGGTTAAAGTTTTTTGTAAAGTCAAATATCTCAATTACTGCTTGAGATATTCAATTGAAACTTACAATACTTATTTATAGTAACAAGGTACATCAGATTGACAAGTTGGATAACTCTGCCTACAATATTGACAGAATTATGCCCCTTTTTAACTTAGAAATTTTGGTTAAACTTTTTTGTAAAGTCAAATATCTCAGTTATTGCTTGAGATATTCAATTGAAACTTACAATACTTATTTAAGGTAACAAGGTACATCAGATTGACAAGTTGGATAACTCTGCCTACAATATTGACAGAATTATGCCCCTTTTTAACTTTGAAATTTTGGTTAAAGTTTTTTGTAAAGTCAAATATCTCAATTATTGCTTTAGATATTCAATTGAAACTTACAATACTTATTTATAGTAACAAGGTTCATCAGATTGACAAGTTGGATAGCTCTGCCTACAATATTGACAGAATTATACCCCTTTGGAACTTAGAAATTTGGGTTAAAGTTTTTTTTGTAAAGTCAAATATCTTAATTACTGCTTGAGATATTCAATTGAAATTTAAAATACTCTTTTATAGTAACAATGTTTATCAGTTTGCGAAATTGCATAACTCTGCCTGCAATATTTGCAGAATTATTTGCCCCTTTGAAACTTAGAAATTTTGGTTAAAGGTCTTCAAAGATATTTACTTGAAACTTTACACATGCACTTAGGGTCATAATTGGAGGGTCATAATTGTATGTCACTGACCAAGTTCCATAACTCTTTCTTGCATTAAGGCTGATTCATATCCCCTTTTCTACTTAGTCTCTTGGTTAATGTTTACATTCAAGTTTTACATATCTCAATAACTATTAAAGATATTTATTTAAAACTTCACATATGCATTTAGGGTCATTATTGTAGGTCACTGACAATGATCCATAATTCTATCTTGCATTTAGGCTGATTTTTCTCCCCTTTTTCAACTTAAAAATTCATGGTAAAGTTTTGCTTGTAAGCTGTTATCTCAATAACTACTGAAGGGTTTGTACCTTTTTTGGGACAATTTTATGCATTCATAATAATAAAGCAGTGATTAACTTGATAAAACATCTTAATAACAAGCCTTTGTACCTTTTCTGTCAAATTTATGTATTCATAGGTAATTAGTATTATTTTACTCAATTAAACACCCTTGTGACATTACCTTCCGAATAGTCAAGCCAATACTGTATAATTAGACTCTCTCTTAGGCCTATAACATGAATTTATGAAAAAAATTAGCTCTTTTGTGAACTTAAAAAATTTAACATTATAAAGGCTCTTTTACTATCAAGCACTTAGAATAGTCGAGCGTGCTGTCCTACCGACAGCTCTTGTTAATTGAATGTAAGGTATCAAAAATGTTTCGTTGTTGATTTTATTTTTTCTATATAGAATATGACTGATATCGATAAATTTAGTACATATGGTACTTACTATTTCAAATGAAATGAAAATGAAATTACTCGCCGATTGTCTCAATTCCTCAAATAGTGCTATAATACACAATAACACTTGCTCTCATTTGTGAAAACAAAATAACACCTGTTAAAAAATTAAATAGTATGATTCCATTGTTCAATAATACGCATACAATTTACACATGATGACCTTTGACAGGTGTGTAGCCGGCTTTTCAAAAGAATCTGCAAATATTTGATGCTTACCAACATGTAGCCCTGGCAGTTTGATTTAATTCATCAAAGAAGTTGCCAAAGCTTTCATGAATTACACACATTTTAAGTGTTCATAAATGAAAAAAAAACTGTGAAAAAAATGTTTTTTAAAAAATGCATGTTTGATATATACTAAAGGAGAAAGTTATTTTGTCGGATAATTATTGTATCAATTTCAATGAAAGCTGTGATAATTAACATATTAGTATTCGTAAGTGCATTTCTTGTTTTGAATATTTTATTTCTGCAGATTTTTCATTTTCTCAAGATAAGGAGTTGACGGGTCGGTAAGCCGAAATATATATAAAATTAATAGCCTAATTAAATATTAAAATTTGGACTTAAAAAATGTTACATAATTGCAAATGACAATCGTACGGGACTTAGAATATTCATCTTGAATACTACAAAACTTAAATTTGTTTGGTGTTCAATATAGATTGACAACATGTGTCATACCTGACTCATAATTATTATAGTAATTATTGATTTTTTGTGGTCTGCAGAGATTATGATGTGTATTTTCAAACTAAGGTACAATATACAATATGGTGTCAACACCACATCTACGTCGATTATCGCAACGCATGTTTTTTATCACATTTTCTCCATATTCTGAATTATTTTACAACCATCCAGGCCAGAAAATGGCTCCGGACACCGAATCATGATCTGAACATTTTGATTTCCGGACTCCGAATGACATCCCTAATTTTAACCGAACCGTGAAAAAACTAGAATGTAACACCATTCATTATGATTGAAATGATGAGGTATTATGTTTTTTAACCAAGCAGACCAGT